TTCCAGTCTTAGGGAGACATTACTCTTTAGCTGTGAGTAATGATGTTACCTGTGGGTTTTTCACAGATGATCTTTGTCAGGCTAAGGACTTCCCATTTTATTCTAATTTTCTGAGAGTTTTTATCATAAATTTTTTTTTAATTTTGTTAACTGTCTTTTCTTCACCTATTGATATGATTATATGGTTTAGTCTCCTTTAGTCTGTTGATGTAGTAAATTCTGTTGATTGACTTAATGAATATTGAACCATACTTGCATTCCTGGAATAAACTTTAACTGATTATTATGTCTTATTTTTTTCACTAGTTGTTGGATTTTATTTGTTAATGTTTTGTTAAGAATTTTTGCATTTATGTTCATGAGGGATATGATTTATACTTCATGTAGTGTCTTTGTTTAGTTTTGGTATCAGCATAATGCTTGCCTCATAAAATGAGTTCAGAAATGCTCTCTTCACTTTATTTTCTGGAAGCGTCTGTAGGAGTAGTATTGATTCTTCCATAAATGTTTGGTAGAATTTGCCAGTAAAGCAATCTGGGCTTCAAGTTTTCTTTGTGTGAAAATTTTAGACTGTAAATTCAATTTCTCTAATAGTGATAGAGATATTTGAGGGTTATTTATTTCTTCCTGAGTAAGCTTTGACATTTGTGTCTTTCAGTGAATTTATCAATTTCATCTAAGCTACAAACATATTGACATAACTTTTATCATATTCTCTTTTTAGTATCTGTAGGATCTGCATTGATGGCCACTCTTTCAATTACATTATGATAATTTGTGCCTTCTATTTCTTTCTATCTTTCTAGGAGTTTATCAATTTTATTGATGGTTTTAAAGAACTAGTTTTAGTTTCATGATTCTTTTCTCTCCTGTTTTTAAGCTTCATTATTGATCTGTCTCATTTCAGAATTGATTTCTGGTCTTATCTTTATTTCCTTTCTTCTGCTTACTTTTGATATAAATTTCTTTTTGTTTTCAAAGTAGGAGATTAGATCATTGATTTGCTACTTTTCTTCTTTCTAACATAACTGCATCCAGCAGATTTTTACATATTGTGTCTTCATTTATTTAAAAAGATTTTTCTAATTTTGGGGGTGGGCTTTCTCTTTGACTCTTGGTTAGAAGTATGTTGTTGAACTTGCAAATACATGGGGATTGTTCATATATCTTTCTGTTACTGATACGTAATTTAATTTTGTTCTGTCCACAGAGTATACTTTTTATAATATGAGTTATTTAAAGTTGTTTAAATATCACTTTGAGTCCAAGAATATATTTTATTTTGGTGAATGTCTCGTGCTCTTGAAAAGAATGTGTATTCTTCTGTCTTTGGAGTGGAGTGCTCAGTCAATATCATTAGGTCACTTTTGTTGGTAGTGTTTAGCTCTTTTATATATATATATTTATTTTTTGAGATGAAGTAATTCTGTTGCGCAGGCTGGAGTGCAGTGGCATGATTTTGGCTCACTGCAACCTCCACTGACTAGGTGTGTAGTAGGCTATACTATCTAGGCTTGCAAGTCCACTTAATAATGTTTGTACAATAACTAAATTACCTAACGATGCATTTGTCAGAATGTATCCTGATTTTTAAGTGACACATGACTATACACACACACACATCTGTGTGTGTACCTATCATCTATAAAAAGGATAAGAATACAGACCTAATATAGGGCTTTTGTAGTTTATAGTATTAATTAAATGTTATTGGTCCTGGTGGTAGTAATTTGAAAAGAGTTAATGTTTAGTAATGGAAAGTACATAAGGCATACAGTCATACATTGCCTAATGACAGGGATATGTTCTGAGAAATGCATTGTTAGGCAATTTTATTGTTGTGCAAACATTATAGAGTGGACTTACAAACCTAGACAGTAGAGCCTCCTAACACGCCTGGGCTATATGGTGTAGCCTGTTGCTCCTAGGCTATAAACCTGCACCAGAGTAAACATTGGTATATAAAGCAAAAAATGGCCTACCTATATAAGTCACTTACTATGAATGGAGCTTGCAAAACTGGAAGTTGCTCTCGGCAAGTCAGTGAGTGAATGGTGAATGCATGTGAAGGCCTAGGACATTACCGCACACTACTGTAGACTTATAAACACTACACTTGGGCAACACTAAATTTATTAAAAGTTTTCATTTCTTTTACTTTTTATTATTATTATTATTTTGACACAAGTGTCATTCTGTCACCCCGGCTGGAGTGCAGTGTTGTGATCTTGGCTCATTTCATCCTTGACCTCCTGGGCTCAAGTGATTCTCCCACCTCAGCCTCCTGAGTAGCTGGGACTACAGACATACGCTGCCACACCTAGCTAATTTTTATATTTTTTGTGGAGGTAGGGTTTCACTGTGTTGCTCAGGCTGGTCTTGAACATCTGGGCTCAAGTGATTCTGCCCATCTTGGCCTCCCAAAGCGTTGGGACTACAGATGTGAGCCCCATGCATCTGGCCTCTTTTACTTTTTAAACTTTTTAAATTAAAAACGAAGCTAAAATCTTTTTTTTTTTTCAATTTAACAGTTTAATAGATTTTTTTTTCCATTTATTTTATTGCATTTTAGGTTTTGGGGTACATGTGAAGAACATGCAAGATTGTTGCATAGGTACACATGTGGCAGTGTGATTTGCTGCCTTCTTCCCCATCACCTACGTCTCTCATCTCTCCCCTTGCTATCTATCCCCAACTCCCCACCCCCCACCGTCCCTCCCCTATTTCCCCCCAACTGACCCCAGTGTATAGTGCTCCCCTCCCTGTGTCCATGTGTTCTCATTGTTCAACACCTGCCTATGAGTGAGAACATGCGGTGTTTGATCTTCTGTTCTTCTGTCAGTTTGCTGAGAATGATGGTTTCCAGGTTCATCCATGTCCCTACAAAGGACACAAACTCATCATTTTTGATGGCTGCATAATATTCCATGGTGTATATGTGCCACATTTTCCCTGTCCAGTCTATCATCAATGGGCATTTGGGTTGGTTCCAGGTCTTTGCTATTGTAAACAGTTCTGCAATGAACATTCGTGTGCACGTGTCCTTATAGTAGAACGATTTATAATCCTTTGGATATATACCCAGTAATGGGATTGCTGGGTCAAATGGAATTTCTATTTCTAGGTCCTTGAGGAATGAAGATAAAATCTTACACATTAGCCTCGTCCTATACAAGGCAAGGATCTTCAAGATATTACTAGGCCACAGGATTTTTTTCAGCTGCATTATGATCTTATAGAACCCCTTTTATATATGCAGTCCGTTGTTAACTAAAACACTGTTAAGTGTGCACATGACTATATAGATTTTCATTTGCTATTTAAACCTTGCTGTCACTTGAATATTATATTTATAATTAATAACAGGACAAACAGGCTGATATTTTGTTTTCTTTTTAAGTTGGACAAATGATAGAATTGATAAAATTGTCTCTCATTCTTCATTTCTGTTTTCTAAGCCAGAGAAAGAAAATGGATATTTGTCTAGAATTCTCTGCTGTCCAGTATAGTAGCCAATGGCCACATTTAATTTAAGGTAAAATTTTAGTTCCTCAGTCATCCTGGCCATATTTTAAGGGCCCAGAGCCATATGTGGACATTGTGGACATTGCAATAATATAAAACATTTCCATCATCACAGAAAGTTCTATTGAACAGCGCCATTGAAGGAAAAGTAACAAATTGTCCATGGTTTGCCTTCCTCTTTCCTTTAATAAAAGGATAAACTATTTTTTCCAGGCTACTTATTCTCTGAATGTATCTCTTAGTATGTATCTGTACAGTCTCTGAATGTATCTCCTGAATTTGTCTATATTTTTTCTCTGCAAAACTACAACTAGATGTAATCATTAGTCTAAAGGAAATGATTCTTTCCTTCTTTTTTTTTCATATGGCACTGTAACTCTGCTTCTGTTTCTTCCATCTCTCTGGCCCCTTTTTCTTAGCCTTTTATAGATTCTTCTTTCTCTCTCCATTTCTTGAATGATAGCCTTTTACAGAGGTCCATCTGTAACCTTGTTTTTTACTCCCTGGATGTCAAATACACTATATAGTCAAAGACCAACAAATCTATGACCAGCTTAGACTTCTAACCTAATTTCCTAGTGAATATATCAACATAGCTATTGTCTAAGCATTCCAACCTCCCTGTGCCCAAAATGAATCCACCTCTTCCTCTCTTGCAAACTTGCTTTTATTTCACCTCAGTGTGGGTCATTACTCTCTGTTATGCTTCTAAGCTGGAAACATTGGAGCCCTCCTCCTCATCCAAACCAATTAACCAATTCCTGTTGATTCCACGTCCTAATTACCTCTCAAATTGATTTTTTCTTTATCCCTAAGACCCGTTTTTGTGATCTTCCACATTTCCAGAATTCTGACAACTTGGTAATCTTCCTTCCCATTTATAGTGATCTTTCTAAAATACAGAGCTGATCATTTTGTTTCCCTATTTAAAATCCCTCTAAGACCCCACATTACTTTTTGCAGAAATGCAAACATTAGCATAATATAGTAGTTTCAGGGTCTGCCCTCCCTGGCCCTCTCAGCCCTCAGCTTGGAGTCTTTGTTCAGTCATGTCCAGCCACCTAACTTCCTGGAATTTTTGGAACACACCGTGTGCGTCTTTCTCACCTCTGTGCACTCATACATCCTGTTCCCTTTCTTGGGCTGATACCTCTCCCAGCCCCACAGCCCACCCTCTTATTCCTTGTTGGGTGATTCCATCTTGCTCTTCAGGACTCCGTTCAGGCTTCCTCACATCTGGGAACATTCCCTGATATCTCCCCTCCCCAGGCTGGTCTTGTGCCTTTCTGACTTTCCCCTGCATTCTCATAGTATTTCTGCTTTTCTCTTCTGTGTCAGTTGTTTCCCCATATTGTAATTGCACAGGAAGTATGCAGTAATAATTTATAAAGTAACAAGCTTCAGCTCTGAAAATCTATTTGAATTCACAGACTAATGAACCATATTATAGTAACCTTCTACTGTTGTTCTTATAGGCAAAGATGCTGGAAGGAGATCTGGTTTCAAAGATGCTGCGAGCTGTTCTGCAGTCTCATAAGAATGGAGTAGCATTACCCCGGCTCCAAGGAGAGTACAGATCCTTGACTGGAGACTGGATCCCCTTCAAACAGCTAGGTTTCCCTACACTAGAAGCCTATCTGAGAAGTGTGCCAGCAGTGGTCAGGATAGAGACTAGTAGATCTGGAGAGGTAAGAGGGCAATTGTGCTTGTCAGAAGAATCAAACCAGTTCATAATTGCCTGTCTGGCACTTCCAATCTCCTGTCTGTGAGATTAGACTTTGGCTTAGACTTAGCTAGTCTAAGCCAAAGCACTAGCTTAGTTGTTTGAGATTGGTAGCGACAGAGAAAACAGCATCTAAAGCATGGCCTAGAGTCTTATGTCTTTTGTTTTATTCCTCAGATTCTTTTCATTGTAAACATAAGATTTTAACCACACAAAATTAAAACTATTTATTTACCCATTGTCAACATCTAAACAAAATAGTTGTACTGGAGGCCTTGAGTGCGTAAACATCATACCTGCCCCTTACAAACCTGTTACAAATGTTTTTGCCAAAGTCACTCATGACCTCTTGATCACCAGATCTAACAGGCAGTTTAAATTCTCATCGTGTTGATTCCTGCTATCTAGACCTAGTCAGTCCCGAGCTAATCCTTCATCACCGTAACTACCAGGGCCTCCTTGTCATTCTTTCTTCTCTTCTGTTCTTTTCCTCTCCTTCACACCCATATGACTATATTATTATGTCATTTAAAATCCTTCTGCCTCTCTGGAAGAAAACAGTTTATAGAGAGTATGAGGCATTTGGTGGTAGCAGGCTGATTTGTCATTGCTCTTCCACTGTGACCTAGCAGCTTCACTTCTTGGTACCTACCACTGTACAGTATGATAGATGTGGACAGACCACCATCCAAAAGAGAAACAAAAACACCCGTACCCCCTTATACACTATAGTTTCCTGGGTGTATTTTTACATATGTAAATACGTAGAACAGGTCTGGAATGTTTCTCACCAAAACCTGACATCATGGTTTCTCTCTGGCGGGGGAGGGGGAGGAGGAGGCAGTGGTGGAGGAAGACAAGGGAACCAGGAGCAGGAAAGTGGTCAAAGGGGAAATTTACCTTATAGTTAATAATGTTCCTAAGGAGGAGATAGACATTAATTAAATGTTAGATGGCTAATAAAACATTCTTTGGCATCCCTGATCCTTCCAGACAGACTTAAGTCCTCCTTTCTGTTTACTTGCACCTTGTAATACATCCATTATAACACTTGACTTAATTTTTTGCCTCTTTCTTTTTCCTTCATAAGTTCCTTAAAGATGAGGGGCTTAATAAATCTGTGTTGAATGGATGAATGAATGAATAGCTGAATGAATTAATAAATTAATAATGCATCATAGAGTTACTATACTGTAATTTACTCAACTCTTTGTTCCCCTGTTTTGGAAATTTTAAATGTTTCCAGGTTTTAACTATTAAAATACCCCAATTGCACATACTAGGATAGGTAACATTTGTTCTTTTAAATTATACTCTTGTAATATAGTCTCAGAAATAGAAATACTGGGCCAAAGAGTAGGAACATGTTTTAGCTTGTGATATAAAGCCTCATTGTTTCCCTGTCCTTGATTTCAAATTAGAGTCAAGGGCATGAAAACCACACAGGTCTTTAGAGATCATCTTGTCCCAGTAGACTCTATACTTCAGATGTTTTTTCAATATCATATCATACCAGTATTTTTCTTAAAGATACAGAGCTGAGCTGCAGTGTTTTGAGAGATGTATAAGCTCTGGAGACCCTGCTTGCCCTACCTTGCTCTCATGCCCCTGCCAGTGGCAGCCCCTTGAGGCCTCTCCATGGAACTCTATGGCTCCCATGAACACAGTTTGAAAAAAACAGGTCTAAACCAGACCTGTTTTATAGCTGAAAATACTTAGATTTGTCCAGAGTCAACCAGCAGATCCATTGCAGAGGCAAGAGAAGGATTTAGTAAGTCTTGTATTCACCGTAGTAGTTATGAGTACACACTTGGGACTCAAAGAGACTTGCCATGTTACTTGGAAGGCTGCTTAACTTTCCTGAGCCTCTGCTTTCCCATGTGTAAAGTGTGAATGAAATGTACCTCACAGATTATATGATATTATATGTCAGATCATAGGTTGCTTTTGGTTCATTTGGTAATCTCATAGCACCTAACATTGTAGATGCTTAATACCTATTTCAAAAATAAATGAAATTTTCAGCTTGGGGAAAGATGATCCGGCGTACTAGACTATGCTCGATTCCTCTTGCAGAAATATAATTTTCTTCTAGCTTTATCAAGGAGTGAGACACATGAATATTTGCATACAGCTTGACTTGGGATGTGTAGGCTCATTAAGATCCACTTTTAAGAATTGGCCTCTAGGCAACACAGAATCTGAGAAATGTTTCTCCTCTCACCCTGCCTCTCATGAATAGATTACCTGCTATGCCATGGCCTGCACAGAAACTGCAAGAATCGCTCAGCTTGTGGCTCGTCAGAGGAGTTCTAAAAGGAAAACCGGGCGTCAAGTTAATTGTCAGATGAGAGTGAAGAAAACCATGCCATTTTTTCTAGAAGGTAGGAGCTTTTTATATGTTAAAATTTTTAGGCCTGTCTACAAATATATTGTCACAGGGAATTGTGGAAGTGTTGTTTGGATTATGATAAATACCGATATCTGTTAACATTCATATGTCAGGAGAAAAATCCTGAAGCTAGCATTTCCATTTGAAATTCTTAAGTGAACGTGATGCGCATGACTTGCTAAGTGAAGTAATTACACAGTGGGAGATAGAACAGATTTTAGTTGTGCTTGTTATGGTAATGTGTGGTTTATTTTTTATTTTTTTAGCTTATTTGAAGGAATGCCTTGTCCAGAATGTTGGCTGCACCAAGAACTTATGATTTAATGTCTCATTTGACAAATCATGTCTTTTGGTAGAAAAACTCTAGTTTCAGAAATACATGAATTATGTATTACACAAAAATGTTATAGACAACTCAGCCTGTGTTTACCAAACAATTATCTCAAGGAGCTTATAATCAGTTCTAAAACTAAATTCCGGTGAAATGGTTCAATGATAATACAAAACAGTAGATGACTAAATGCCACAGTGAGCATTTAGGACAACGGAGCAACAATTTTGAATGAAAATGGCAAAGGGGAGACTTGAGTCCAGACCTCAAACGATGGGTAGAATTGGGATTTATGGGGAAGAGATGGGAGGACCAAGATATAGCTGAGTGTGCTGTATTTGCAAGATCATGAGGTGGCTGCCACTGAAGTGTTCAGCTGGTGAGTAGCAGAACTTCCTGACCAGTCTGATGGATGAAGAACCTTATCTGCTAAATACTCACCAATCTATTCTTTTCCTATGGACCAGCCCTCCAGTGGCAACCTCCTTGTTTTCTTAGAAACTGTTCTGAGAATAGATACCCACAGAAAACATCTGGTCAGGGGAGTGTCATAATGAAAATGGGGTTTGAGGATGCTAATTGATTTTATTATGTATTCCTAACTTCATAGGAAAGCCGAAAGCAACCCTCAGACAACCAGGATTTGCTTCAAATTTTTCTATTGGCAAAAAACCTAATCCACCACTATTAAGAGACAAAGGAAACTCTGCTGGAGTTAAGTCTGATGCTGAAACGTCTCCTTATACATTACACGCAACTCTTGGAAATGAAGCATTCAAAGGCATTCCAATGCAAAGGCATGTGACCATGTCCACCAACAACAGGTATTTGGCTTTTGACTAACAGAAAGTTGGTGAATTTGGGGTAAAAGAGTGTTTAAAATGTACGTTCAGGTTAAGAAAGAAGCACTTTCTGTTTAAGTTCATGTGTAGTAGAGACATGCATCATTACCAGTTGAGTTCACTTTTCCTAGCTACCTGAACATCATTCTCTAAGTGCATCTCTAGAATATTTTATCTGCATTGTTGTCAATCTTTCCTTGTAAAGTTCATTCAAAAGCTCTCACGAATTGTTCTGAGATACTATTTCAATATACTAAGAACTTTTTCAGAAAACCTTTTTTTAACAATTAATTTTGTAGGTTTCAGTAAAGCCTGATGGAGTTTTACTCACTCCACTCTGTTGCAAGTATCATGCCCATAATTATTTAGTAGCATCAGATATCCATGCAGCAGAATACTGGACTCGCTGTAATAAAACAACCTGTAAGTCTTAGTTTGGGTGCTGCCATTCACAAAAGATGAAATAAGTTATTTCATCATTTGGACCCAAAAGATGAAATAGCTTATTTTACCTGACTAGTGAATGGCAGTGCCCAAACTAAGACTTATATTTGTCCAAAGAAAATGTTAAACTAAATGATCTCAAAGTTTCTTTCTGGCTCAAAACTATGGTTTTATAAGGTAGCTCAGAGGGTGGCAAACTACAATCCATGGGCCACATCAGGCCCACTGCCTGTTTTGGTAAACTAGGTTTTATTGGAACATGGCCATTTTACTTTGTTTGCATATGCCTCTGGGTGCTTTTGCAAAATAGTGGCAGAAGTGAGTAGTTGTACAGAGACTAGATGGCCTACAAAGCCAAAAATGAACTGATGGACCCTTTACAGAAAAAGGTTGCGGACCCCTGATGTAGATGTATCAAGATCACATTCTTCCATCCTACTTGTGCCTTTTAAAAACAAATTTTGTTGTATTCTATTCCTTTAAATCAGTGTTCAAAAGTTCTGTTTTGTGAAAGATAATTTTTCCCCCAGGAACTTTTCCCCCAGATACTGAATATGTAGGAAGGATTTTTTTTTTTAAAAAAGATATAACTGATACAAATTTTTTATATTACAGAATTTTTAATAAAATAACTCTAAACTATTTTTATAATAGTATACATTTAATGTTATTTATGATTAGTTATTGTAATTTTGATAAGGTCTAGAAAATACATAGTTTAAACACAGCTCTTGACCCAAAGCGCTAGTTGAATCCAGTGTATGACAGAAGTATCATTGTTTCCCTGTTTGTGTGCCTACATTTCAGCAATACATTTTGAATGATTTTTTCGGATGTGACTCTAAAAGGACAGGCAACAAAAGCAAAAATAAACAATGAAATTACATCAAACTAAAAAGCTTCTAGACCACCAAGGAAACAGTCAACAGAGTAAAAAGACAAGCTAGCTGTGGAATGGGAGAAAATATTTGCAAACCATATATCTGATAAGGGCTTAATATTCCAAATATAAGGAACTCAACTAAATGGCAAGAAAACAACCTAATTTTAAAAATGAGCAAAGGACCCAAACATACATTTCTCAAAAGAAAACATATAAATGATCAACAGGTATATGCAAAAATGCTCAACATCACGACTCATCAGGGAAATGCAATTTAAAACCACAGTGAGATACCACCTCACACCCAATAGGATGGCTACTATCAAAACACAGAAAATAACAAGTGCTGGTAAAGATGTGGAGAAAAGGGGAACCGCAATACACTGCTGAGGGGAATGTAAGTTAGTGTAGCTGTTATGGAAAACAATATGGAGATTCCTCAAAAAGTTAAAAAGAACTATCAGCAATCCCACTACTAGGTATATATTCAAAGGATATGAAATCAGTATATCAGCTGAAGAGATATCTGCATGCCCATGTTCACTGCTGCAGCATTCACAATAGCCAAGCCACAGAATCAACTGAAGTGTCCGTTAATGAATGAATAGATAAAGAATATGCAGTTTATCTACTGAATGGGAATACTTACTATTCAGCCTTTATAATAGAGGAAATCCTGCCATTTGCAACAACATAGATGAACCTGAAAGACATTATTTTAAATGAAATAAGCCAGGCGCAGAAAGAAAAACCACAAGCCCTTATATGTGGAATCTAAAAAAGTCGAACTCATAGAAACAGTAAAATGGTACTTACCAAAGGCAGGGGAATGGGGTTAGGATTGGGGGTTGTGAGCATACACAATTTCAGTTAGGAGAAATAAGTTCAATATATCTTTTGTATTTCATGGTGACTATAGTTAATGATATATTGTATACTTGCAAATTGCTAAGAGAGTAGATTTTAAGTGTCCTCACCACAAAAAATAAGCATGTAAAGTAATGCATGTGTTAAGCAGCTTGATTTAGCCATTCCACAGTGTACACATAGCAAGCCATCACATCATGTTGCATACCATAAATATATACAATTTTTACTTGTCAATTAAAAGCATGTAACTATAATACGGCCCAGCAGTTGTGCTCCTGGACATTTATCTCAGAGAAATGAAAACTTAGGTTTATACAGAAACCTGTCCACAATGTTCACTGTAACTTTATTTGTATTAGCCAAAAAATAGAAACAACCCAGACATCCTTTGGTAAGTGAATGGTTAAACAAACTATCATACGTTCATATTACAGAATATGTCTCCACAGTAAAAAGGAGTAATGAACTATTGATACACACAGCAACTCTGATGGATCTCAAGGGAATCATGCTGAGTGAAAGAAGCCAATCTCAAAAAGTGACATACTTTGTGACTTTATTTATATAACATTCTTGAAATTATAAAAATTATGAAGATAGATAACAGATTAGTGGTTGCCAGAGGTTAAGGATTTGGGTGATTTGGGGGATGGGTATGCCTATAAAGGGAGAGCAAGAGGAACCCTTGTAGCCATGGGATAGTTCAGTATGTTGATTGTACTGGTGGGTACATGAATCTGTACATGTGGAAAATTGCACAGAACTACAAATGCAAACACGCATATACAACTGGAAATATGAATAAGCTCTGAATTGTACCATTGCCAATATTCTGGTTTTGATATGTACTGTGCAAGATGTTACTATTAGGGGAAACAGTGAAGGGTACGTGGGACCTCTGAGTACGCTTTTTGAAATTTACCATGAATTTATAGGTATTTCAGAATAAAAAGTTTTCAAATTGACAGCAGGCTGGGCACGGTGGCTCGTGCCTGTAATTCCAACACTTTAGGAGGCTGAGACAGGAGAATTGCTTGGGCCCAGGAGCACAAGAATAGCCTGGGCAACATGGTGAGATCTCATCTCTACTAAAAAAAGAAAAAAAATTACCTGGACATAGTGGTGTGCACCTGTAGTTGTTGCTGCTTGAGAGATTGAGATGGGAAGATCACTTGAGCTTGGGAGTTTGAGGGTACCGTGAGTTATAATCACACCACGGCACTCATGCCTGGGTGACAGAATAAGACCCTGTCTCTTAAAAATAAAAAAAACCCACATATTTTAATTAAAGACTGCTTGAGATATTATAAAACATTTTAATCAAATCTTTTTTTAAGCATATAGTACAATTTGAAAGATACCTTTTCAGAGAAATCTAAGTACCACCCAGTGGCAGATGTTATGGGTAACATTTCTAGTTATAAAATCAAAATATCCAAATGGAACAATAGCAAAAACGTTTATATCTACTTATGAAATATTAATGTAGTAAAAAGCAGTTAAACCTATTGTGAAGGACACTTAAACTTTTTGAGGTCACCAAACCTCTTGAGAAGTGAATGAAAGCTATAAGTGATCTTCCCAGAAAAATTCACACATGTACATATACATATGCATAAATAATCTCATACTAGTCAGTAGATTCATGAGCCCCCAAAGCTCGTTCTCAAGAGTTTTGGTTAAGAACTCATGCTTGCCTGTTAACAAACTGAAAAATTCTAGAAAAATAGCATGGCTAGTTCCTGTAGAATAAATTGGTAGAGATAAAATGTGTGGGTAAGAGGATATGTATACTGACTCCTATTAAATTGTGCTCTAAACAGATTATAATAATTTGTATTCTTCTAGAAGAATATGAGAGTGATTATTTTCTTGTGTGCCTGCCAACATTGGGCATCTGTTTATTTTTCTTAGCTACTTTGAAAGGTGAAAAAAAATATTTATGCTTTAATTTTTATTTCCTTGATTTTGAGTCTTAGGGAAGTTACATTTTTGTCATATATTTATTAGCCCATTTTAGGTCTTATATGAATTACATGTCTTTGTCCTTTGCATAATTTTTCTGTTGGCTCTTTTCTTTCTAACATTTAAAAGTGGTTCATAAATTAAAGAAACTGGCCCTTTGTCTGTAATATTTTGACAGTGTTTCCTCAGTTTGTTTAATTATTGTATTTTTGTATACTAAAACTAAAATTTTACATGCTTGCAGCTATCAGTCTTTTACTGTGTGGCTTCTGCTTTTAGGTGTTATGCTTAGAAAGGCATTTCCACCCAATATTATGTAACGTGTGTTTTCTGTTTTCTTTTGTAATTGTTGTGGCTTCATTTTTTAGATTTTAGTCTTTAATTCATCCAGAATTTATTTTATTGTATAGTGTGAGAGTTGGAATCCTTTTTTATTGTTATCCAGATGTCCTATACCAGTTACTACACAATCCTTTTTTTCCCTGCCGGTTTGATTCTATCTTTACCAGTACTAAAGCCTTATAAACATATGATTCAGTTCCTGGACTTTCTTTCAGAATCATCGATTACCTCTCTATTCTCCAGTACCAAGCTATTCAGATTATTATAACTTCATAGTAAGTGCTAATAACCTTTATTCTCTACTTCCTCCTCTCTCTGTCTCTTAATTTGGTCTATTAGTTCCATCGTGTGCTTTTATTATACCTGCTGCCCTTATCATAACACTTAGTAGACTTTGTTCTTAGATTTTGTCAATGCATTAATTATCTGTTGCTGTCTAAACAGATTACCACAAAGTTATTAGCTTACAGCAAGACACATTTTCTTACCTTATAGTTTCTATGATTTGGGAAGGAAGACAAGGTCAAGCTGGGTCCTCTGCTTCAGAGTCCCTCATGAGGCTGCTGTCAAGGTGTCAACCATGGCTAGGGTCTTACCTGAAGGCTCAGCTAAAGACGAATCTGCTTTCAATCCTACTCACATGGTTGTTGGCACAATGTACTTCCTTATGGGTTGTTCCTTAGTCCCTAGGTGGCTGTTGGCCAAAGACCATCTTTAGTTCCTTGCCACATGCTTCTTCCCAACATAGCCATTTGCTTTATCAAAGCAACAAAGGAGAGATTATGCTAGCAAAGTTGAAATTAGAATCTTCTGTAATCTAGTTATTTGTGATCTTTTCAACCTTGAACTCATCTATGGATTAAAAGCAGGCTGCTCAAGAAGAAGGGATCACACAAGACTGAATATCTGGAGGAAGAATCTTTGGGGGTATCTTAGTATCTGCTTACCATGGTCCATTTCTCAACTATGCTGCATAGTCCCTGAGAATAGGGCATGTTTATCTTGCTGATCATTGACAGTTACCGTCTGACACGATATCTGGCACATAGTATGTTTTAAATATTTATAGGCCATAAATGTGTCTCTAATAAACGATATGTGTTTAGATTTGGAAAGTTTTTTTCTGGACCAGTCTAATTCTTTGTCTTTTTAAAAAACAATATATTTTATTCTTACTGTTGGAAAACGGGACCTCTGTCATTTTATTATGTTTGTTTTGTATGCATCCCTGCAGTTTCCTTTGAAGGGCTTTCTTTTGCTGTATATACTTTTTCATTTCTCTCCAGTAGACCTGTTGATTGAACCATAGCAGTCCCTTCCATAGTTTCTGTGTACTCTCACTCTTTACTTATATCTCTCTACCTTCTACTGGAGTCTTTGATGCTCACTTAAAGCAGGGGAAGTTTCCAGTTTACATTTTTGGAGCTTGTGCAGGGGAAGGAGTACTGCATCCCTACCAGTTCTGCAAAAGTAGGAGTTGGATATGTTTTTGGCATCTTCTGTTATTACACAGATACATTAATACACAAATCTGATGGCATTATAATTGCATACGCCAAGTAAGCTTTTATTGGTAGCCTAGAATCTAATCATTTCTTTTAGAATTGAAATATTATAAGAAAATGTGCTTCATTTCAAAGAATTGATCTAATTTTTAGACTATTTTATACTATTCAGAAACTAGCAGGTATGTGTACTATGTCACTGTCACCTACTATAGTCCCATACCGACTGCTGGGCAGGTTTTAGTCATTGATTCATTCAGTTGTGATTCATTCAGTCATTCTTGTAATATTCACTTTGCCTTGCATGTATCAAGCACTGCCCCAGGCACTTGGGAACACAGACAATTAAGACACTTTTGAGTCTAGTGTGGGAAACAGACATGAATATAAGTGATGTGTGCATGGTTTATTTCTTTGTCTTCATATTTGGAAAAATCTTCCTACCTATATCCAGCATAATTTACATAAGAATTATTTTGGTAAGGGTATGAGATAGGGATCTGTTTCTTTTTTTCAAATAGTTGCTTGACCAGTCCGTCACCTGCCTATTTTGATATGCCGCTTTATTATGTACCAAGATATAATGCAAATTGCGTGTTTCTAAGTTCTCTACCATTTTACTTATCTGTGCAACTATTTTAAATGTTGTAACTTCATAGTGCATTTCAGTATCTGGTGATACAACTCCTTCATTTTTTGGTTATATTCCAAAATGTTTTGTTTCTAGCTGTTTATTTTTGCATGGTTTTCTATATTTTATTTTGCTAGTTTCTTATAAGTGATTAATTGGAATTCTGACATCCAAGTTTTGAAAGAGGCTTTCAAAGACCTGTTTAAATTTAGCTTTTTAACATACTTTTCTCTGAGTGAATATGAAACATGAAAGATGATGCCAGGTTTTATTTTTATTTTTTCTGATTTTGAATTATTTTAATGATTTGTTTTGCTGTTAAATGCCACCAAGACTTTAAGTGAAAAGTATAGTGTTTAAAACTTGGTATAGACTTTGCTATTTACATTTATTTAACCTTTTGTTTTTTAATACCTTAGGTTTAGCCCAAAGGTGTTCCTTCAACCACCTTTGCAGATGCAACTGTCGAGAACCTCTGCTAAGGAAATGAGTGGTATGTTTTCTAAACATTTTTGAGGTACATATTGGCTTCTGGAGCCAAGAAACATATCTAGGGATGGCTTTTGACACTTGCACTCACTTTCTCCTGCTTGGAATATGTCTCTCCTCCCTTCTTTCCTAATTTCTTTACACTATGAATCGAAATGATCTTAAGAGAAAATAGTGCCTCCCAAGGATATTATTATCATACTAACTTGAGGCCTTCCTCACCCCAGCCCTGCTCTGTGTCACCTCCATGTATGGCCTGCAGAGGTGCTTCTGTTCCTTACCCTCTCACCTCTTAGTGGGTATACCCTTGAGGTTTTGGAGGCTGAGGCCTCACATAAAGGAAACATCTGCTCTAGTTTAAAAGTACATAAATATGGGACTTACATTTATAAAAGACTTTCAGATCCTCCACCACTTAAAAGCTAGCACCCTAAACTGTGTAATCATCTAAAGATGAATGTAAATAATTCTTGGGGTTATAGAATCCAAGTCGGCTGTTAAGAAAACAACAGGAGAGAGACATAGTATAAGTCAAAGAATCTGAAGGTTAGAAATGCAGTCACTCGTTACCTTTTCTTCTCCAACCAATGTGTAAATCCCCTGCTCATGGACCCACCCAGGGAAACAGTGTTTTCATATCAATGCTTATTGTATGTGAAATGTAAATGTGATTTTACATTACTTGTTGCTTTAAGTGTGAGTCTTACTGAGTTGAAATGCTTTTTTTTTTTTTGTAAAAACACATCTTCAGTATTTCTTAATGGAAATTAAATAGTATGATTTCTGTTTACACGAATTATTTTAACATAGGTATTTTCTGAAACATGACTAGGTAAAGTTGAATATCCTTTTAGAAGCTTAAATTAGTATAAGCTATTTCTACAGAAGCAAGAGGACTTATTTCAGGAGGATTGCAATTCACCTGGCAGAGCTGATATGCACACATATATACACAACCTCTCCTACCTGATGGATGCCTCCGTTGCTTCTTTAATCTGTTTAACAAGAGGTGCAAGCACTTAGATGACCCCAGTGGCCCCACAGAGCAAGTGCATTTGCAGACACAACTGTGGGTCAGCTGCTGACACTCTTTCATTATGGGAGGGTCTGGCCAGTTATGAGAAACTTAATCTTTTCCTTCTTCCCAGTCCTTTTATAATGATTATTTGGGAAGAGCTTAATAAACTAGCTATATCCTTAATAGGAAATATATATGGATATATTGGAGCCTTCTCTTCTCTGTGCCAATCTAAGACTTGGTAAGGTCAGATCTTGCCCTTTGGTGGAACAGCAGAGTCAGTGTCCAAGCGTCCTCAAGGAATAGCTCACCCTGGGCTTCCTGGCATTCTCAAAGCCAGCATTCCCAAATCAGACTGTCTCTACCTGCAAATTAAAATAAAAATTACAGAATCCCAGCAGAGATATTATCTGATTTAAATATGCATATATTTTGCGTACAGATGGTAATGTTTAATATGCTCAGATCTGTATCTCAGTGAAATTTCCTAGAGATTTGGAATAAATTTCATAGTTCTTTAAATTCCAGGACTGTCAGCTATAGTAAACACTCAGATTTCTTTATTGTCTGAGGATATTAACTCTTGCATTCTAAGTTTTAAATAAAAACGAAATGTAAAAGAGGTATAAAGCCAAAACTTTATAAACATATACTTATGAAAGATAAATTATTAATGTTGGCGAAATAAAAGTTCCAAACCTTTTATTTATGTTTATAAACTGAGGCTAGGATGATGATTCTTATAGATGGATCAATTTTTTTTAACTTTTGCGTATTGCTAAATTATTTGTTTTCCATTAATAAAGGTGAAAATAGATCATAATATTCAAACTCAAGCAATTTTGTATCTTCTATAAAACTTGTATAAGATCAAAAGTTACTTGATCTTACTATTAAGGCATTATTCCTATGTTTTGTGGAATATAGCTTTAAATTCAATATTGCCTATAAGCTAATATCCAAAATGTCATCTTCTTTAGCAGGTAGAAAATGGTTGGTTAAATAATTTAATCATTCTTTATGTAGCAAGATCACCTTGATGTTTAAACTATGAAGCATCTTTGCAAAATAAAGGGGCTAGTTTCCCTCTTTGGGTATTTCTTGACCCACAAGAAACACTGCTGGTTATTTCAGGGTTAAAACTTAGATTGAGGCTGTCATGGTGTTGCTCTGCCTAATCCTGCTCCCTTCTAAGTCCTTTGGTTGCCACAAGCCCACAGTATAGCAAAACCTGAAATGCAAATATTAGGTAATGGGGATAATCTAAAATGTTAAGCATTTTTGTTAATTCTATTATTTTCTTGATTTAAAGATAATTTAAATCAGACTGTTGAAAAACCCAATGTCACGCCTCCTGCCTCTTACACTTATAAAATGGATGAGGTTCAAAACCGCATAAAGGAAATACTAAACAAGCATAATAATGGCATTTGGATATCTAAGCTTCCACATTTTTACAAAGAGTTATATAAAGAAGACCTTAATCAAGGAATTTTACAACAATTTGAACACTGGCCTCATATTTGCACGGTACGTTTTTCCTTATTCCTCCCTTCTGGTACCTCCTCGCTGCCCAACTTTGAGATCTTGAGTTATTAGGCATATCACCTTTTGTCCCCAGAACACAAAGCACTTTACCTATGTTACCTCATTAATCTTTATCTCTTAAGATTAACATATGTCAGTTCTTATTTATAGAAATATGTCAAAGTTGAAGGCTCTCCTATGTTGTAATTGCTATTTTTATGTATGTTGTTTAATATCATTTAAAAAATGTATTTAATATGTGATCATATGTAAACCATTTTATAATGCTCGAACTGTTACCAGTAAACACTGATAGCTTTGCCATTTTAATAACCTGAACTTATTGGGAATAACTGTTGCATTAGCCTCAAATTTTATATGCTTAGTCTTGAGCATTTTTAAAGACTTTAAGCAAATTGTAGTTATTTTGACTAATTATATATAGAATTCTTAATTTTTATTTCAAAATTAATATAGTATTCATATTAAAATTTTTATAAGCCATCTTTAGAGAGAAAATTGGAAATTAGAAAAAAGAAAAAAATTAAAAATGATTTACCAATTTCCATTTCTATTCCTACTTGAAAGTCTGATTGTAAGATTATGGAACAGCACAGTTTCTTAAAAATTTTAGTTCAGCCAGAGATAGAGACAGCTGAATTCCTACAGCAAAGTAACTAACTTAAGATGTTTCTTAATGTTTTTACTTACCTAAAATATATTTAAAATATAACTTTTAAATGGTAGCATTAACAGCTACACAATGCTTGTAGGCTTGTAGAATTAAATATGCATGAGAATTCTGTATGTTTTGGTAGAGGACTTTCATTTCTTTCACATATATTTTGGCCCCCAAACCTATTGGGCAGTGTAGGACATTCCCTCTTTTATAAGCACCTGCGGTGTTTTTTTTTGTTTTTTGAGATAGGGTTTCGCTCTTGTCACCCAGGCTGGAGTGCAGTGGAGTGATCTCAGCTCACTGCAGACTCTGCCTCCAGGGTTCAAGTGATTCTCTTGCCTCAGCCTCCCGTGTAAATGGGCAGGAGCCACTACGCCTGGCTAATTTTTATATTTTTAGTAGAGACGGGGTTTCACCATGTTGGCCAGGCTGGTCTCAAACGCCTGACTTCACCTCGGCCTCCCAAAGTGCTGTGATTATAGGCGTGAGCCACCATGGCATCTTAGAGGCAAGTGTCATTAATTCATCCATCCATCCCATTTGCTCATATACCATTCACTGTGCACCTGCATGTGCCGATTTCTGCTTTAAGCGTTAGGAACAAAGGTAACGAAAACACTTAGAGTTTAATGAGGGAAATAGGGAAAAAAAGGATTAGGACAGTGTGGTAAATGTTAGAATATACAGTGAGAATATGATGGGAAAATAAGAAGGAATGTTAAACTCTGGAAATATGGCTCTGTTTCCCTTCTAATACACTCAAGAACACTTAATGTTCCTAGGAATGTTACCTCTGATTTATGTGGAATGTAGGGTTTGTTCTCCTAATGGAAATTTTCAGCATTGCTTTTCCGTTCACTCCATTTTTATTCCATTCTGGGAAGAATTTTCTTCACTCAATTTAGGTTTAGTGACATTGAGGTACCTTCTTAGACTTCCCTGTACTGGCGGTGGCTTTTGAGGAAGTCTCATTAGGCTGTTCAGTTTGAAGGTTCAGGACGTGTAGCCCCTTCTTGAAATGCATATGACTCCCTTTTGATTTAAATCCACAGAACTTCATGAATTTTTTATTTCAACTTTTATTTTAGATATAGAAGATACATGTGCAGGTTTGTTACGTGGGTATTTGCATTCCATAGCAAGTTTTCTATAAAACTTTTCTTAATCATCAAAATACATATATAACTCATTATTAAGTTTTGATAAAGAATTCTTCTTTAGACTAAAAATTTCTTAAATATACTTCACTGGTTCTTTTTAATGTAATGTGTTTCTGGTTATTTTGTATTCCATGATAATTACTAATATTTGTGTGGCTTTATTATGACATTTTTGGGAAATTTTTATCTTTGCTAATCTACATGCTTTCACAGTTCTAGAATTTCTCTTGCTAGGATTGTAGGTAAGAGAGTATATATCTCTTGATGTTAAAAACTTTAAAATGAATAATTTTCTACTAGATCTCTGGTGCTAAACCAACTTTTTTTTGGTTGCTTTTTATAGCACTTTAATTCACCTTTTACTGCATGATTATATTCCATCCAAGCAGTGCGGGTCAGAAGCAGAAACACAATATACCTTTTAGATCTATTTATTTTGCCTATTACCTTTGTTCAGATGTAATCAATGCCAATTAATAGGTTATGGTAATTTGCTCAGTGAAGTAGGGTGGCAGAAAACACCAATCATAATGATGTCTATTGACATCTTTCAAAACTGTTTAACCTCTGAATATTTTTTAGCAGACTGTTGTTAAACAGTTTTAGTCAGCTAACCCCTGGTTGTTTTTAAACAGTTTTATACAATGGTTATTTTCCCCCTTATTGTAACTTCTTCTTTTCACTTTGGTGCAGAGCAGAAACACTGATACAATGCCTAGGGCGAATATTACTACAAGCAAGATTAGACAGTCTGAAGGCAGTGCAAAAAGTTTATGATAAGAAAGAACTTGGTAATGGGTATCTCTCTCTATATATGGTTTGTCATGTAACTAAAGAAGAAATCTAAGTGCAGTGTATTTCTTTTTTTAAAGAAAGAGATTTTTCCTCCAATCATATAAAATATTCTATGTTAAAAGATTGAGAAATAAAGTTATAAAAGAAATAAAAATCACTCATCATTCTACCACCCAGAGATTACTACTTACAGGAATTTTCATTTGAATATCAGAATGCTGTACAGCATCAGCTTCAGGGACCAAATAGCAGCTTTGAAATTTTACCTCTGGGGAGGTTCTGGTTAGTATGCTGTAAGCCACTTCACATGGATATTGGAAGACATTTTGATGCAGGCAGAAGGATGCTTTGAATCTGCTGTCCTTAACCTTTTGGGTCTGTCCAATAGCAAATGTGTACAGAGAGTTTTCAAAGCTAGGGAGAACACAGAGTTATTCACAATGATGAGCCAGCTCCAAGGTATTCCTAGACAACTGTCTTGAAAAGGCAAAGATGCTGAAACAGTAAGCCCGCAGACCAAGGGCACTGCACTCTAAGAGCTCCTATTGGGTCCTGGGAGGACAGCAACACCTCTTGGCTGTTCTAGAGCAGTGATCTTGTTAACAGTGTTCTTGTTTAACTGTTGTATTTGACTGGTATTTGTAAAATGCTTCTATGTTCCACTGACCTGGGTGTTAGAGATAAAACAGTAAACAAGAAAGACATGGTCCTTGCCCTCATGGAACTTTCTGTCCAATGGGGAAAAAAACACTGAGCAAATAATGATAAGCCTGCAGTGGTTGTGAAGGAGAAGTACAGGATGCTGAGGGAATGTCTACACAGAAGACTCTATGTAGTCTGATGAGTCAAACAAAGCTTCCAGATGAGGTGGCTGGTAAACTAAAACCTGACAGATAGGTTAGTGTGAGTTAGGTAAAGAAGGAGGAAAAAAGCACCTCAGACAAAAGAAAGATTGTGCCAAAGCCCTGAGATAGAAAAGCATAGTGTTTTCAGGAAGCTGAAGGAAATTCAGTAGGAAGATAATGGCTCATGACGAAGCTGAAGAGCCAAGCAGAGGCCAGGTCACTTCATTAAGGAGTCATCATTTGGTGGAAACGCAGCAGGTCCGAGCTTTGAGGTCACCCAGGATCCATGGTCTCTGGCTGACTGTGATTTCTAGTAAAATTACAAATCTTGGTCAGGCACATTGGCTCATGCCTGTAATCCCAGCACTTTGGGAGTTCAAGGCAGGAGAATTGCTTGAGGTGAGGAGTTTGAGGCCAGCCTGGGCAACATATCAGGGCTCTGTCTCTACAAACAAATAATTTTTTAAAAATTAGCTGGGCATGGTGATGCATGCCTATGGTTCCATCTACTCAGGAGGCTGAGGTGGGAGGATTGCTTGGGCTCAGAAATTCAAGGTTGCAGGGCTGTGATGGCACCACTGCACTCCAGTCTGGGTGACAGCATAAGACCTGTCTTTAAAAAAATCCAAATTTTGCAGCAATGACTGCTGAACACCAGAGATTTTGTTGAAATTTTCTAGTCTCTGAAACAGATAAAGAAACCTCTCTGTTCTTACTTTAGCCAGAATATCTGTCTCCCATGTCTTTCCTGAAGCTGTTAAAGAGCTGAAGGGCTCATTGGTATACAGAACTAGATGGACTTGGCTGAGGAGAGTTTCTGTCAGTAGCACCAAGACCTACTAGTAGGCAACTGACAGGTAACTGGGAAACATTCTAAGCTGGGCTGGAGGCACACCAAGTCTTAATTATAAAACATTTTCTGAATGACAAAATTATAGAACATAAAATGTTGTGAATGAGGAAAAACTGCCTAATTACACTAATTATTCCTAGCTTGTACAAAGATGTTTTACTGTTAATCTGTTTATATTATATATCATTTTCCTATTCATTAGAAATCACTGAGCTTTAAGTTGTTTCATATCTAATCCTGCAGACTCAAAAATTCTTGAAATTCTGAGTTGCATCAATATAGTAATTTCTCTACTATCAAAGGAGGCAAAAGTTTCTGTCACTTACGTAGAGATATTTTTATATTTTGGAATGTTCAGGAATCTAACTTAACTTTAATTATGGTAATTAATTGTCTGAGATAATAAAGCACCTCTCAGCCCATGTAAAATGAATTTGCCTTTTTTAAAAGCCAGGAACTTCTGGGATAAAAACAAACCACTTGGCTTTCTAAGGATGTGGAACATAAACAGCAGTGAATATCCTCAGGCTTAATGGTATTGAATATACTCTGTGTATTGAATATATTCTAAATAGCAGTGCCAGCAGAAGCAGAAGTAAAGGGGTAAACTGAAGACTCGGAAGTATAATCATAATATTTTTTCAATGGAATCTAACTTCTTTTCCATTTTA